AAGGCAGCTCCTTCCTCAGGAAAGCACAGCTAGGGTAACGGGAAACGGAGGAAAGTGAAGATGGGAATGGCAAAGAAAAAGGGACTGAAATCCGTTCACCCAGCAGCTCCCACAGCCCTGTGAATTCTCCCGCTGGGAGTGGGGGTGTGTGGCTTACTTGCCTTGCTGAAATGAGAGCTGAATGGAGCGTTGTGTTGCTCTCCCCAGCTCCTTCCTCAGGAAAGCACAGCTAGGGTAACGGGAAACGGAGGAAAGTGAAGATGGGAATGGCAAAGAAAAAGGGACTGAAATCCGTTCACCCAGCAGCTCCCACAGCCCTGTGAATTCTCCCGCTGGGAGTGGGGGTGTGTGGCTTACTTGCCTTGCTGAAATGAGAGCTGAATGGAGCGTTGTGTTGCTCTCCCAGCGTGGCTCATGCTCACACAGAGCCAACCGGAGGGGAAAGGGGGGGGGAGATAAAAGAAGCAAAACTGAAGTGAAGAGCAGCCTTTGGGAGAGCAGCAATTCATCAGATGCGTCCAATCACTGGGAAAGCCTTTGGGAGAGACAGGGCTGTGGAATTCAGTCCCCTTGTCTTGAATGTCATGATGCCATTAAAAATATGTGTGAGAGTTAGACTGACTCCCTTCCCCCACGCCACTCCTCTCCCCGCTCTGTGTATGTAGGCAACTAACACATAATATCCAATATAGACATTAAATGACAATACATAAATACCCAGTCCATACTAATCCAGCATTAAGGTTTACCTCTGAAATGCACCTAGATTAAATGTTATGGTGGAAGGAGGCTGCTAAATAACTTTGTGTGTGTGTGTGTGTGTGTGTGTGTGTAAAATATATAGTAATGCGATATAGATATCCTATAACACTTACCCAGCATTGTCCAGGGGTAGTGGGGCCATCCTGCCCACTGGCTTCTCCCTGGGAATGACCTGGGATGTGAGGGGGTGGGGAGGGCTGCTCAGGCCTCCCGCCAGCTTCTCCCGGGGGCTGGCCAGAGGCAGGGGGGCAGGCAGGTCACCTGCTGGCTTCCCCCTGGGACTGGTCCGGGAGCAGCAGGGGCTGCACAGGCCACCCACCAACTTCTTCCAGGGGACAGACCAGGGCGGCGAGAGCTGCACGACACGGTCAGTGGCTGGTCCCCGGGGGAAGCCCAAGACAGCGGGGGCCATGCTGCTGGCAAGTAGCTACTCCCCAGGGTTGGTCATTTATCAATATAACTGTCCCTGCTATCACGCCCCTCCCTTTCTGTTTGATGTGAAACAATCGCATTCTGAGCATAGCCCATTGTCTTGGCTACAACTGAGCCCCCACCTTGCTTTAAGGTGAGATCTCAAATTTGATGGTCCTAGCTCTTACCGTTTAGATGCTCTTGAACAAACGGACGCATGGACGGACAGACGGACAGGTGGACAAAATTTCTAAAATATATCTCTCTATAATTGAGTTACTATAGACTTAATGCTTTTATGTATTTGTATATGCTTTCTTTTAAGTTGATAGACAAATTACTGTTATATGGTGAGTGACATTTGATGCAGGAAACAGGTTTCTGAATGTCCTGACTGTTGTGCATTTCAAATCTCAGCGCCTTCCCCCCTCCCCCTTTTTTTATTAAAGGAAGTGCCTGTTTCTCTGTGTGCACGTGTGGTGTTTGTGCTTTCAGAGAGCATTGGGAGGAAGGATGGATTGTTTTTGCACCACTGCTTTCTTTCATGCCTGGAGTTTTAGCTTCTCTGGCATGTTGTGGTGTCACTGATAGAATCTCTGTGAGGACCCACTGGCTAGCATGAGTGTAGGAGCATAACTTTGCCACTTTATTTTGTTCCTTTTAAATCTTCCAGGGCCTTGAGCCAGTGACTTGCTGAGAAACTGACAGTCTCTGATTCCTGTGGGAATTGCTTGTTCTCTGCAACTCTCAAGAACAGGCCATTCGATTGCAGAGAGTTTTAGGGGTCACCCCATTGCGATGCTCAAACACCTGTCAGTCAGGCGCAAGGCTCAGGATTAGGCAGTTGGTGGAGAATTTGCATTTAAGCAAATGTAAGAAAAATGTTGAAATGTGATTTTCATAAAGGAAAATGCTGATTTTGCACTTGCAAATGTCTAGGCTGTTGAAGTCCCCCTAACCTTCGTTAATGGATGCATTAGCATTTACCCCTGTGCCGTGATGGCATCACATTGACTTCAGTGGGATTCTGGAGCAGGAGTCCATGGAATCAGTGGAATCCCACATTGAGAGGCAGGGCTGGTGCATCTGTTTGCAGGATCGGGGTCTACTTCTGTTGCTGCCCCTCAGTCTGTCTTAATGAACATCAGCCCTGGATCAGACTCTGGATCCTAGGTTTGAGTGAGTAAGCACTTGCTGTAGGGGAGATGCTTCCACTCTCAGAGCTGGCTCCTTGCTCAGGGCACCCACTAGTTCTGTAAGGAGAGTGAGGATCGCAAACACGGGGCTGTCTTTTTAACAGGCGCTCAACGCGCTGTTCTGAGGGGCTCATTAGAACACTCTGGTGACCACAGTGCGCCGAGATGGACAATGTGATCACCAGCTAGACAACATCCGACGCAGAACTCTCACCTCGCTGCTCCAGCGGCGCCGACCTCTGGGCCTGCAGATCGAAAGGTGGCAATGCCACTGGCTCAGGGCTTGATACTGCTTCCATCTGGGCCCAGTGAGGACAGGCTTGGGCCCTCAGTCACAAGCTGGGCCAGCTAGTGGGCCCCCTTGTTGCACATCTTCCTCCCCTGAGTGGTCCCCCTGCCTCAGCTGTAGCTCTTTGCGCAAGTCAGAGCTGCAGAAGCAAGCTCATTATTTAGTGCCTGATTGCTGCAGAGATATGGACTGTGCACATTGTTTTGTTATTGTAGGGTAGCTCGGGTCTTGGATCACGTTGGTTTATGGCTGGGTACAGAGTTTTAATTGTCTTGCTGGACAAGATGCCTTCTAGATCCTCAGGAAATTATTGTTCTTGAACCAGCATGGGGACTGGCCGAGCTAAAATGCTGCTCCTCGTTGAATTTAGCAACAAAGGGCCGCGTTGTACAGGGAGAGGGGCAGAGGCAGTGCTGGGTATATTCAGCAGCAAAACCTGGGCCACTGAGAAGCGGGAAGCAGGAAAGAGAAACTTGTTTTGAATGTAAACATTCGGTGTGCTGGGCAGAGGGGGATGGAATTTTCCACTATGCAGAGGTGACTCTCCTTCCTGTGCAGGCAGGGAAGTGGGGTGAAGAGAGGAGGATTTCTGTGCGGGGAGGAGATATGCAAGTTGTGGCTTTTTCTGTCCTCCTCTCAGACCTCAGACTTGGAGGAACTGCCCCTTCTTGCTCACCCAATGACACTGGCTTCTTTGTGCCAGCTGGATGGTTGCAGGAGCCAGCCAGTGCTGCTGCACTTTGATCCAAACAGAATGGGGGAAGCTGGTGCTAAACGATAGACCTGCGTCCTTCTAATCAACAAATGCCCCAGCCCATCTGCCTCTGCGACCTCTGCTGAAAGGGAGGAGCCCCCACTCAGCAAGCAGCCCCTCTGGCTTTGTTAGAGCTCCTTGTATGAATGAGGCTGTTGCAGGATCAGACCCTTTTTTTAGAAATGGTGAAGTGGCAGATTAAAGCTGCATTAGTCCTTGACTATTAAGGGGGGGCAGGGATGTTTTGCAATTTCTCAGCTGCTTAAAGCCATCTTTTGGGGGAGGGAGGGCAGAATCTGTGTTCCCGGTAAGATGAGAGCTTGGGCAGCCACCCAGGAGAGATGCAGGTGTTGCCCAGGTGATGAGCAGAACACTCATGGCTGGCAGCATGTGGTTCTATTGGTGATGCACATCTGCATGTACCTTGGTGCACATAACAAAATTTATTCTGCCCACAGATGGAAAAAATAGAGGGAACATTGGACGGAACGACTGTTTATCTCTCAGACTCCTGTTCTGAGCCAGCCACAGGTCAGTTAGTAGAGCCCCAAACTTGCTGATCTACAGTGGCTATTGTCTGGCCTTTGAGTGTGCAGAGTTCCGGTTGATTCCTAATAGGATCAAAATGGGTTGTTTCCTTTTTTGAAAATTTGCTGCAGGACTGTTCGATAATGCAGTGGCTGCCTGGTCACCACCAGCCTCACCACAATCACCCAGGGCACGTCTACACAGCAGGGCAACAGTCGGCATAAGCGACGCAACTTGAGCTACATCAGTTGCGTAACTGAAGTCAAAATAGCTTATTTCAGCTTTACTCCTCGGCTACGTCTACACTGGCCCCTTTTCCGGATGCTCCAGAGACCCCAGATTCACAAGATGAGAATCCAAGTTATTCCCTGAATTATTGCAGAAGCTAGCACCAGTCCAGTCAAATCATCTGTGTGCACTTCACCAGAGAAATGTAGTCACAAATACAGTCCCAGAAAGGGAAGCATGAATTCTGCATTATCGAGCATAAAGCAAGGCAAACCAGTCAGCTAAACAGATGTCAGTGTGGAAAAAATACACGCTTTCTATATAACAACCCAACCTCTGTCCACCTGTGATACCAAACTGAAAGGCCACTTGCAGGAGGTTGTGCAAACCTTCATAGTGTTACCTTCTTGCCTCTGATGTGAAATTGTTAACAACATTGTTAACATTCAAAACTGTCATCATTAGGCTTCAGAGTGTACATATTGAGCTGATTAGTGCAGTTGATACTTCTCTCAGGCCTGCTGTCAGGAAGACATTGCTGCCTATGGTCCGAGGCAGTGAGGGCCCTTTTTAAGCTTCAGCACAAGAGCACATGATGTAACCTCCAGAGGATGGTAACAGTTTGTGAAGCTACCGCAAGCCAGCTCAGTGACCAGAGATTTTGGAAAGTGCATTTCATGTGAAAGCCTCAACAGACTCAGACATGCTCCCATGGAGAGAAAATGCTGTAGGCAGGGAGTTGCTCTTGACACCTCTCTGTGCCACAGCGCTTCTGGAAAAACAGCCAAAATGTCTGGAGCTGGAGGGACATCACAGGAGCTCCAGGCTCTGAGAGTATTGGGGTGAGGCCATTCCAATTACAGGCTTATAGATTAGCACTAGCAGTGGCAGAGTTAGAGGACTGTGGGACCCTGTATGCAGCTTCATTTTTGGGGTCCCCACTCAGGACCTGGGCATGGGGCGGCATCTGGAACCCCAAAGAGCTCCAGGCAGGTGGTGCCCTGCGTAAAACATGAAGGAGCTGCAGCACCCCCCCGCACCCTTAGCTCCCATGCCTATGTCTGGGGGTCCCTGCCATTCGGGGCCCTGTGTTACCGCAGAGTTTGTTTCACGGTAAATCCACGTCAGGGCACCAGCACCTTGGCAGAGCATTGGCTGCCAGTGAAGGGAACCACGCATGGGAGAAAAATATGCTCATGCCAGTCTGCCCTGGCTCCCCAGGAGGCCAGTCAAATGTGGCACTACCCGAAGGTTCCAGTGGCCTGAAAACCATCACCAACCTTGAGCGGTCAGCCCCAGGTAGAGTGCAGCAGCAGCTGTCCAGCCTAGAGGGGGCAGAGGTGCAGCGAGGTCCAGAGAAGAGAAGAGGGGAAGCTGTCTCTTGGGCAAATATGCTTCTGGAATCAGCCATTGGACCCAGTTCGGTGATCGGCACAGGCCTGCTAATCACATTCTCATTTGCTCTAGCGCCAAGTGAAGGAGCCAAGTAAGAAAATGGTTCTCAAAACTGGCTCATGTCCTAAAGCAGAGAGGGGCAAAAAGGCTGGCCAGGCTCAGGTGTTCCAAACACTAACGCATGCTTGGTTCCAAAATCCGTGGCTGTATTTTTTTGCTGCCTCTACTTTCTCCCGCTCATCTGTATCCTTTCTCCCTGCAGACAATAGGAGGAAACAACTCATGTCCTAGCACCACTTCCGCCATCAGGTTATGCGGGGTGTTGGAGGCATTCAAGCTGAAAGAGGGAAGAGTCACCAGGACAATCATTTCCCTGGCAGCAGCAGTAGCACATGGGGTGTTTGGAGAAGAGCTAAAGCACTCTGGAGCCGGGCAGCAAATACCCCCCCAGTAGAGCCGTCTCTCAGGCCAGGTAAGGGAGATGGAAAGCACCGGTGACAGACCGTGATGTTGGGTGTCTGTCAGTGTGGGGGTAAGGGGATCCCGGGGGGGCAGGGTGGAGATGAGAAATGCTGTGCCTCTGGAAATAGCTGCTGCAAATGGATTATTTTGCAAACATGGAGCAATCACCCCCAGCAGAAAGCAAGTGACATCGCTGCTCTGTGTAAGCTAGTTGGGAGCACAAATCTGCAGCCCCAAAGGAGGCCATTCCTACACTATTATTAATAACCAATGAGTGGTCCCACGGCACCTTAGAGACTAACCAAAATATAGAGACTCATGAGCTTTCATGGGCAAAACCCACTTCTTCAGGTGGATTGGAGTAGAAATAACAGAAAGCAAGATAAACGCGCACTGATACAGACAGATGGGGGGGAGTGGGGATTGGTAGGAGGGAGTAGATGGGGAGAGATGCTGGGAGGGGAGGAGAGAGGCATGCAGAGAGTGGGGAATGGAAGGTTGACTGGAGAGGGCAGAGGCTCCCACTGCTGGGTAAGGCACACAGTGAAGAGAGGCAGAGCGGCTGCTTTAGAGCTGGCTGTGCTGTATACCCAGAACAGTGACACCTTGGGGCAGTGGAACGTTGAGTGCCTCTGGGCGCCTGGCAGGAGTGCAGGGTGGGGCCCCTCTCCTGCTGGCCTCAGGGTTCCCTTGACTGTTGCCTGTGCTGGTTCCCTCATCCCGGGGAGCTGCACGCAGGGCCCTGGGAATGAAATAGAAAGTGGGTATTGGGGGCTTTTTTGTTTTTCATCGTGTTCCCAGCGTGGCCCCTAGGACTGAGCAAACGCTGCCTTCCCTCAGCACCTGTATAGCACAGGTGGCAGCAGCCAATGCCAGGAGTGATGCTGAGCCTTGCGTAGGGAGGGCTGCAAGAGTAGCCAGAGACGCTTCTTTTTCTTGTTTTGGGCTTGGCAGGGCAGGGGGCTGCTGCCCACTAACTGCACTGCCCCACTCAGGCACCTAGAGGGGGTGAGGAAGTGTCTGCAGCTAGATGCCCTGGGACAGGGCAGAACCCTACAGGCGCGCAAGCGTAGTGACAGTATATGGAAAGGGAAAGGGGGGGAAATCTCCCTGCACCAGCTGAGGAGGAGCAGGAGTGCTAGGGGGTGGGAGGGAGCTCTGTTTTCCCCTCTGCATTAACTGAGCACCCCAGTGGCCCAGCCATCACTCGGGCTCAGGAGAGCACCTGCAGTCGAGAACAGCGGCTTCTTTTAGGTAGGGTCTTTTTGCTTTATGCTAAATAAAATGGGCACAGAACAAGCTGGGGTGGTAATTTGCACCATCATCAAGTCTTGTGGGTCAAGGCCATTACTGCAAAGCACAGGGCATGTCTCCCACAGGGCCTGGGTCTCAGTGATACTGGTGTGAGTCCAGAGCAACTCCACAGACGTGAATGGCGTGACTTGTGCTGGTGCGACTAACACCAGAATCTGGCCTCTGGAGCACTGCAGCTGTGCTTACGAATCTGCTCTGTCCTGGCTGTGCATCTAGAGCCCCATCACAGGGTGTGAGATGAGCATCCGAGGGCTTCCATGTCCCATCGGTTCAAGCAGCTAAGTAAGGGCTGCGCAGAGGGGTGCTCATCTCAGACCCCCAGTTCTTGGAGGACTGTATTGCTGATGCCAGGGACTCTTTAATGGTGCAGCCAATACAGAAGTGACTTGATCAGGAACATCAGCTGGAGGTCCCCTGCTTGTTCCCTCATCCAGGGACCTCTAGCTCCAGTGTGTTCAGTTTCCAACTCCAGCCATGATAATGGTTCTACAGGTTGAACCTCTCTAATCCGGCACTGTGGTCCGGCAACCTCCATGGTCTGGCGTGATTTTAGTTAGTCAGATGCCCACTTATTAGTCCTGGCTCTCAGTGTTCTGCTGGTATTTATCTCTGATTTACCCCTAAATGTCTTCTAAGAGCCCAGTAAGCAGTGGAAGTGTTGGTAATGCTGCTAGACAATATTGACCTCCTGTGGTTCGGCAAAATCTCTGCTTCAGCACCGGTCAGGTCCCGAGGGTCCTGGACTAGGGAGGTTCAACCTGTACCAGCTCCTCCCTCAGCACCCAGGGGCTCTGGGTGTTACTGTGCTTCCCGTCATCTCCACCAGGGAGAGGGATTCTGCCAGGCAGGGCTGAGCTGACAGTGCAGAATCCACCTTCTCTGCTAGTGGCAGTGACTCTGCAGGGATCAGCAAGGCTGAACCGGGCCGCAGCTGGGACATAGAGCTATACAGCTAGAAGCGGCCATGTTTACAGCATAGGTTCCCTGGGCTGTAGGCAAAACTTAACCCAGAGGGGGAAGGGGTGGACAGGAGACTGCAGGGCTGCATTTCCTGCCGGCCAGATCACAGTGTCAGTGTTTTTCTACCACTCTGGTTTGTGTGAGTGAACAAAAGGAGGAAGCTCGGGCTCTTGGCCGTTCCTGTGCTATCCGTGGGCTCTGGGCTACACAGACTTGATTGAGGAGGAGACGGGGGCATGTCTCCTCTGCCATGGAGGAGGACAGGGAGCGAGACCAGGGCCATGAGAACAGGGAGGGAAGCAACAGGAGCAGTCAGAGACACATTGGGGACAGAAGCTTTGGGAGTGTAAAGCTGATACCTTCCTGTAGGTATAGATACTGTTTGACGCTGCCCAAGTCTCTCACTCTGGGGGCTGGAGGGAGTCCAGAGGGTGGGGGAGAGGAGGAAAAATAGACTGGCCTGGAAATCAAAAGGCACAGGCACATGGAGCAGAATGGGGTGAGGAGAAGAGAATAAAGGAAGGCAGAACAGCAAAAGATGAAGCTTCCCAACGGTGCAACTGATCTGAATGATCATGTTCCTCTTTCACCATGTTGTCATGTCACCCTGGCAGGAAGGAGGACATTGATAGGAAGTGTTGAAAATCCATTGCCAGCCAAAGCCAGACCTGGACATTATTCCAGACCACTGGAAACCCTCCGAACATTTGGAACAAAATATCATCTTAGGTAAGAACCCTAATTCCCTGCTCTCCCACAGTGGGAGCCTTGAGCAGGAAGTCTTGGCCGCTGCGATTTCTGGAACGCCCTCTGGTCTGCCCAATTCTGGGGAACCTGAATGAAATTTGAGTCTCCTCTCTGGCACAGCAGGATCCACTGGGAAAGCTCCGGGCAACGGGGAGTCAGCCATGGCTCTTCCTCCTGGCAGGGTAATAACTTGTTCAAGCAGCAGGGGACCAGAGAGTAGGAGTCAAATTCAGGTCTGCTGTGTGGCACAGCATTGATCCTTGGGGCAGTGAGGTGACCAGCTCCTATCCAAAACGTTTTAAGAAAAAATGGCAGAGGAGGAGATGGCCTGGGAGTATTGACTGATCACAAGGTGAGTATGAGCCACAGTGCAATGTGGCTGAGAAAAAGGCCAATGCAGCCTTATGGTGCATGAGAAGAGAAGTGTTAGTACCATTATACAAAGCACCGAGACCTCAGCTGGGCAGTGCGTGCAGTGCTCTCCATTTCTAAAAACCCGATGATTGCAAACTGGAGCAGGTGCAGCAAGGAGCTACTAGGATGATTCATGGAACAGAAAAGTTACCTTTGGAGAGGAGACTCATAGAGCGTGGCTTGTTTGGCCCGACCAAATAAAAACCGAGGGGAGAGATGATTGCTCTGTATAAGTGCATCAGAGGGACACACACCAGGGACAAAGAGGAGCTATGCAAGTTAAGGACCAATGCTGGCACAAGCCCAAATGGATATAAACTGGCCAGCAACGAGCTTAGCTTGAAATTAGGTGTAGGTTTCTAACCATCAGAGGAGTGAAGTTCTTGGGCAGCCTTCTGAGGGGAGCAGTGGGGGCACAAAACCTACCTTGTTTCCCCACTGAGTTTGATAAGTTTGTGAAGGGAATGGTCTGATAACACCACCTACACTGGTGTGTGGCCCGGCTGCATCTGCCATTGTAAGTATCCCCCACGACTAGAACACTAGAAGGGGAGGGCTCTAGAGGATTCTTGCCCAGGTGTCTGGTTGGTGGGCCTTGCCCTTATGCTCAGAGACTAATTGATCCCCATATTTGGGGTCAGGAAGGTATTTTTCCCCAGATGTAGTTGGCAGGCACCTTGGGGGATTTTCACCTTCTTCTGCAAGAAGGGGGATCAGTTACTTGCAGGTTTAAATTAGTGTAAATGGTGGATCCTCTGGAACTCGAAATCATTAAATCATGACTTGAGGACGTGAGTAACTCAGCTGGAGGTGAGGGATCTGGCGCAGGAGTGGCTGGGTGAGATTCTGTGGCTACAATTTGCATGATGGTCCCTTCTGGCCTTAAAGTCTGTGGGTACGTCTACACTAGCTCGTTAGTTCAAGCTAGGTAGGGTAATGAGGGCAAGCGGAGTTGCAAATGAAGCCTGGGATTTAAATATCCCGGGCTTCATTTGCATGTTCCCGGGCGCCGCCATTTAAAAATTCCCCTTAGTCCGAACTCCGTGCCTGTGGCTACACGCGGCACGGAGTAGATAGTTTGAATTAAAGATCCTAATAGTGGAGTAACGGTAGTTCGAATTAGGATATTTAATTCGAACTACCTACTCCGTGCCGCGTGTAGCTGCAGGCACGGAGCTCGGACGGTAGTTCGAATTAGGATATTTAATTCGAACTACCTACTCCGTGCTGCGTGTAGCCGCAGGCACGGAGTTCGGACTAAGGGGGATTTTTAAATCGTGGCGCCCGGGAACATGCAAATGAAGCCTTGGATATTTAAATCCCGGGCTTCATTTGCAACTCCGCTTGCCCTCATTTGCGTACCTAGCTTGAACTAACGAGCTAGTGTAGGCGTACCCCTTGAGTCTAAGACACGGTAGCACCTGCTGCCACAGTGCAGTGTGTCCTTAGCTTAGACTGTGGCACTGGAAACATCTGGTCCTGGCCACATCTGGAGGCAGGATACCAAACAGGATGGAGCAGCGGGCTGATCTGGTGACAGCAATTTCTTTGTCCCTATGGGGGTCTGCCACAAGGAAATGCAAGGCTAGCAGGGAGCTTGAGAGGTCATGTCATGCAGCCCCCTGCGCTGAGGTCAGGACCCACACAGGACACCGTCACAAGCAGCTGGTAGCAGATGAGCCATGTGACCTACAGGAAGTGACCTGAGGAAAGATAACAACGTTCCTTTAGCTCAGCCAAAGCCGAGTGAGCTGACGAGCATGTACACTGTTTGAGGGCAAAACAGAAGGGCTAAGAACTGTTTCCATTGAGTCAAAGGCTGATTAAACCTAGACTGATGGGAACATTTTGGCTGCGTTATCTTATATCTCCTAATGGGGAGGAGAATTGCTGGGCTGTGGAATAGACCTTTGAGGGTCATGGGTGTGGACAAATTCCCTGGAAACTATAGCATGGGGAATAACAGTTTCAGGGAGGTGTGGATGAGATGGGATCTAGCCTGTTCCCAGCCCTTTTACAACGCGTATGCATCCGTTTCACTCGCAGCCTGCCTTTTATATTGCACAGAGAGACGCTATGTCGAGGCTCTGGATTATGGTCCTTGTTCTGCTGTGGATTCCAGTCCTGGCCACCACACAGTTCCCAGGCAGTGCCCAGTGCCCTGAGAACTGCTCCTGCTTCTTCTCCCAGTGGTTTGTGCGGTGCTCCAATGCCAGCCTTTCCTCTCTGCCCCTTGGCATTCCCAATGCCACGGTGGAGCTCGACCTGCAGCACAACCAGTTCAGCACCCTGTCTGCAGGGTTCTTCCCAGAACTGAATGAGATCAGCAGCCTTTACCTCGGCAGCAGCGGCATCTGCCAGATTGAGCCAGGGGCTTTTACAGGTGTCAAGACTCTGTACCATCTCCACCTGGACAACAACCTCCTGGAGCAGCTCCCAGACGGCGTCTTTCAGAACCTGACAAATCTGATCTTCCTCCACTTGGATCACAACCAGATTACTCACCTCCCGCCAGGTATTTCTGGGTGGGTAGGCCAGTGGCTCTCAGCCATAGGGCTGAGTTTTACCACCAGCTACGTAAAAATCATTCGCAGACTCAGTGAAACTAAAATGTGATATGACTTGTTGATACTGCCCCATATCCTATACGCTGATCGTGTAGCCGTGATATACTTGTATTTTTACAACTGGTTTTATAATCTGGGGCTGTGTCTAGACTGCATCCCTTTTCCGTTAAAGGGATGCAAATTAGACACATCGCAATTGCAAATGAAGCAGGGATTTAAATCCCCCCCGCTTCATTTGCATAAAAATGGCTGCCGCTTTTTTCCGGCTCGGAGCTTTGCTGGAAAAAAGAGCCAGTGTAGACGCAGATCTTTCAGAAAATAAAGCCTTTTCCGAAAGATCCCTTATTCCTCTTAAAATAAGGGATCTTATTCTTAAAAAAAGGAATAAGGGATCTTTCGGAAAAGGCTTTATTTTCTGAAAGATCTGCGTCTACACTGGCTCTTTTTTCCAGCAAAGCTCCGAGCCGGAAAAAAGCGGCAGCCATTTTTATGCAAATGAAGCGGGGGGGATTTAAATCCCTGCTTCATTTGCAATTGCGATGTGTCTAATTTGCATCCCTTTGCTTCATTTGCAATTGCGATGTGTCTAATTTGTGTCCCTTTTACGGAAAAGGGATGCAGTCTAGACACACCCAGGGAGTTTTTAAGTGAGGTGAAACCTAGGGGTACGTAAGGCCAAGCAGACTCTTGAAGAAGGGGTCCAGTCATCTGGTGAGGTAAAAAGCCCCGGGGATAGACCCCCCAGCACCACTCTGAGCTGGCTATTTGAGCACCAGCATTCTCAGCCCCACACCTCTTCTCTATTAAAGCCCTGTCCAAGCAGAAGGCCTCACACTGCTGACAGGATGTGGGCCAGAACTGCCATCGAAGGGTCCTGCGTCTCCATGATACAAAGTCAGCCCTTCCTTCTACCCAGGGGAAAACGGGAGGGAGTAACTCAGGGCTGGGGGGGAGGGTAAATGGCCAGAGATTATTGAAGCGCAGAACATTTGCTACTGGCTTGACCTCGAGGGGGCGGATCTCTCTCTCCCCCCACCCCAGGTGTGCTCTCTTCCCTGAAGCAGCTCAGTGTCCTGGACCTGAGTTACAACCTACTGCTGGAGCTCTCTGACCAAGCCCTTCACGGTCCCCTCCGGCTGCGTCGGCTCTACCTGAGCGCGAACCAGATCACCAACGTGTCCAGCAGAGCCCTCCCAGGCAGCCTGCGGGCCCTCAGCCTAGACAGGAACCAGCTGGCCAGCGTGCCTGCGGCCATCCGCGCCTCTCCCATGCTCGCCACCCTGCAGCTGAGCGGTAACCCCATCCAGAAGCTGACGTCTCTCTCCTTTGGGAGGAGGCTTCGCTCCCTACGCCAGCTGTACCTGGACAGCCTGGCCCTGGAGCAGGTCACCTCCTTAGCTTTCACTAGGCTGCGCTCGCTGGAGCTGCTGAGCCTGAGGAACAACAGCCTGGAGTCGCTCCCGTCTCTGTTCCCCCTGAAGGGGCTCTCTGCGCTCTATCTGACTGGGAACAAGTGGCGCTGTGACTGCAACCTGATCTGGCTGCGCACCTGGCAGAGGAAGGTGCTCCGGAAAGATCGCAGCCCCGTGGTGTGCAGCTCCCCGGCGGCGCTGCAGGGACAGCTCCTGGCAGATGTAGAGGTAACGGCCTGTGCTTTGAGTACATGCAACTGGCCTGGGGCCAGGGCACCCAGGATTTCCAGGCCAAATCTATCCCCCTTTCGCCCCAAGGGCTGGTAGTGCTGCTCATGGCACCAATACTTTAAAAGGGAAGTGAGTGATGTGACTGGTGCCTTTGCAGATCTCATCACAGCAGGGTGAGGCCTGGCCAGTATGGGATGGGACGCAGGCAGTACCATGTGCTGCAGATAACAGACCCCATTCCCCAGGGAGCCAAAACTTGGTCCTTTGACTTGAAAACACGGGCCCCTTCCGCATTGCTGAAAAAGGTCTCTTCTGATTGTAGCTGATAGCAGCTCCCTGACCATGTGTGCTGTGAGCCAGCTCCTGGAGAGCCCAGCCCCCATAGTGCTGCCAGATGGGAGGTAGCACTTTTTTATGGAGGCTTGGGGTGGTCACAGGAAATCCAGAAAGCAACAGGTGTGTGTTAACAGGCAGGCCTGGCATTAATGTGTTTCATGGTTGGGGAATTATAGGGGGCAGGAAGGTGCATACAGGGGGTGGGTTTGGCAGCTGGTGAAGGAAGAAAGAAGCAGATGCACACTCTTCATTTCCTTCCTTTCCCCTCTGCTCAGTCCTCCTCTCCTCCTCCTCTCCCCCTGCCTACCCTAGCTCTTGTGGGGAGCAGCTGGGGCTTCTGGGTTAGGGTGTGACTGCAGAGGTCAGTGCAGAAGGTGCTGGAAGTCAGTATGTAGAGCAGGCTGCAGTTTTTGGCAGGCTCCGGTTCCCACAGTATGTGAGGTATGAATAAAAATAATAGAATTGTTAAAATACAAGCTCGACACAGGTGGCAGGTAATATAGGCAAAGGAGGGGACTGCCTTCCCAAACAGGCTGGGGTGTCCCTGCTCACCACGCTCATGTGAGCAGGGAAAGCTGAGGCCACATAATTTCCCAGTCATCTGGGAAGGCTGGAGCCATGCAGCTGTGGTGTGGCTCCCCAGCTGACCAATTCTCTGACCAGCTGAGAAGGCTGGGGAGCAAATAATTAAGGAATGGATGCAAACAGCTAGAAGATAATAAGGTGATAAGTAACAGTCAGAATGGGTTTGTCAAACCAATCTGATAGCTTTTTTTGATAGGATAACTAGCCTTGTAGAAAATAGGCGGGAAGTGGTAGTTGTGGTATATCTAGACTTTGGTAAAGCTTTTGATACAGTCTTGCATGACCGTCTCATTGATAAACTAGGGAAATACAACCAAGATGGGACAGCTATAAGGTGGGTGCGTAACTGGTTGGATAACCATTCCCAGAGAGTAGTTATCAATGGTTCACAGTCATGCTAGAAGGGCATAACAAGAGGGGTTCCACAGGAATAAGTTATGGGACTGCTTCTATTCAATATCTTCTTCAATGATTTAGATAATGGTATCAAGAGTACACTTATAAAGTTTGTGGATGATACCTAACTAGGAGCTTTGCAGGTGCTCTGGAGGATAGGGTCATAATTCAAAATGATCTGGACAAACTGGAGAAATGATCTGAGGTAAATAGGATGAATTTTAATAAGGACAAAAGCAAAATGCTCCACTTAGGAAGGAACAATCAGTTTCACACATACAGAATGGGAAGGAACTTTCTAGGAAGGAGTACAGCAGAAAGAGATCTAGGGGTCATAGTGGACCACAAGCTAAATATGAGTTAACAGTTTGACAATTGCCAAAAAAAAAGCAAACATCGTTCCAGGATGCATTAACAGGAATGTTGTGAGCAAGACACACAAAGTCATTCTTCCACTCTACTCTGCACTGATTAGGCTTCGACTGGAGTATTGTGCCCAGTTCTGGGCACCACATTGCAGGAAAGATGTGGAGAAATTGGAGGAGGTCAAGAGAAGAACAAGAATGATTAAAGGTCTAGAAAATGTGACCTATAAGGAAAGATTGAAAGAACTGGGTTTGTTTAGTCTGGAAAAGAGAAGACTGAGAATGAAAGAGGAACTGATAACAGCTTGCAAGACCTAAACGGATGTTACAAAGAGGAGAGAAAAAAATTATTCTCCTTAACGTCTGAGGATAGGGTAAGAAGCAATGGGCTTAAATTGCAGCAAGGGAGGTGTAGGTTGGACATTAGGAAAAACTTCCCAACTGGTTCAGCACTGGAATAAATTGCCTTAGGGAGGTTGTGGAATCTCCATCACTGGAGATATTTAAGAGCAGATTAGGCAAACATCTGTCCGGGACAAGATGGTGCTTGGTTCTGTTATGAATGACCTCTCTTGGCTCCTTCCAGTTTTACTATTCTACAATTCTTGTCTCTCACTTCCTCTCTCTGCCATATCCTTCTTCATCCCCTGTCATGCTCAGGCTCAGCTGGGACTCTGCCCTTCAACTCACACCTCTCCGTCCATTTACCTGCCACGCACAGATGTCTCTTCTGCTATCTGCCTCAGCCTGGGGGGGAACTGGGCCACAGCCATTCAGCCTCCGGTCAATTTTTGCAGCTCAGTTGGCTGCTGGTCTCCTCAGGGGATCAGAGTAGTTTGCAAAAAATGGGCCAAAATGCTGCTGGTAGGTAGGGATGGATCCTGGAAACTGAGTCAGTTCTGGTTCTGAGACACGTAGTCACCCAAAAACAGAGCCACTCTGACATTCTTGCCCATAAAAGACACCTCCCTCCCCCAGCAGTTTGTATCAGAGGTATTAGCTTGGTACCTGGGAACAGTTCTCAGCTGATTCATTTATATTCTTCCAGTCTGAGCATCCCGCTACAATTTTAACTAGATCAGGCATTTTCCACTTCCTGTCCTAACCCCCCCCCAAAATAATCTCTCACCGCTGTTTTAGATCAGGGTGCAGGATGGCTAGCCTGTTCCCTCCCAGAAGCCTCTGCCTGTCAGTGGGGAGGAGTTCTCCTTGCCAGTGTTGCATCTGATGTAGGTTTCTTTTCTCCCCTGTCCAGTTACAGAAGCTGACTTGCCCACCTTTTGGGATGGACCCCACCACCCTCAGCCCCTCTGAGAACTCGAATACACCTATGGCCACAGCTCCGCCCAGAGACAGACCTCTCCCTGGGTTTGCTACCACAGTTACCACCACGACCTCCACCACCCAGCCCACTACAAGGATCACTAGCTTCACCGTGCACCTAGCTACCTCTCATCACCGTGTGCTGGAGAAATGGGATCCATGCTTGGCCGACCACATCAGCAGTGTCAGCATCAGGTCCAAAGGCGACAGCTCCCTGGTAGTTAGCTGGTCGTTCTCCAGTGAGCATGACCAGTTTGAGGTGCGGTACACGTCTGACTGGGGTGAGCAGGTGCTGCGGGTGATGGGGGGATTGACAGAGGTGACACTCCATGAACTCCATGCAGGGACTGAGTACAGAGTCTGCATCATCCCCCAGAATGAAAATCTGCCCGAGTGCCAGACCCCTGCTGCCCGGCAGTGCATAGCCGCGCACACAGCCGGCCTTCCTCATGATGCACAGCCTGTGCACGCCCCACTCGGCCACAGCCACTCGGCCGTAGGTATTGGTGTCGCTGTTGCTCTGTTAGGCCTGGCGGCACTGGCCCTGGCTGTCACTTACAGGCTGCGGACACGGCCGATCCAATTCCAGCGCTACTATGATGAAGATGAGTCACGCCCCCATTGCAGGAGCAGCAAGCCAGCCAAGATGACCATGTACCCAGTAGACGAAAGCATGGAGGACGAGGACCGGCACGGTTATATGACCGCTGCCAGCCAGTGCCCAGAGGAGAAGGTAGACGGCACCGTGCGTGCCCCACCCAGACTCATGTCCACACCCACGTATGTGACTCTGTGATTCTAACTGCCCCACGCAACATCCTGCAACAGAGCAGGATGGGTCTGCCACTCACCCAGGGACTCGACAGTCCTGTAACTGCCTCTTGTGACTGACGGGGACAGCAAAGCAGAGCCATAGAAAGCTGAGATGGGAAAAGCCTGTGGCTTAAGGCCCTTTATCCATCCCAGTCCAACCCCACTGCAGCTAGTGCAGCCTTGTTCCTTACAGAGAATCCCAAGGGAGAACAATGCACAGTCTCATCTAAATAGCTTTGATGAGTTGGATCTCCACTGTGGTCCCCCTGTGATTCACAAAGCCATGTGCCTTCTACCTGCAGGGTGATATAGAAAGGCAGAGTCAGTGACTAGTTTCCATTTGACAGGCAACCTCTGCATGGCTGAGGGTTGCTATTTATAGCAAAGCTGGACTGGAAATCTCAGGAGAAGGTAGTTTTGGAGCTCCCCTGCTGTTGCCTGGAGGATTGTTTGCCACTTCTACCAATCCCACCCCAAAAGTAGTTTCTGCTTTGGCATGTAGTTTTACACCCTTAGGCTTCATCTACACTGCAGCTTTTAGCGACAAAATATGCTAATGAGACACTCATTTGCATGAGTTATATCTCATTAGCATATTTTCTGCCATTTGTTTTTGTGCTAGGGGGTTTTGCGCAAAAACAAGCAGTGTGGACTTTTTTGTGCAAAAACCCGGGGAGAGGCATAAGGCTCATACGCAAAACAGGATTTTTGTGCAAAAAAATTCCATACTGCTTGGCTTTGCGCAAAACCCCCTAGCGCAAAAACAACCGGCAGACAATCTAATGAGATTGTGAGTCCTGCATTAGCATATTTTTTTGCCACAAAAAGCTGCAGTGTACACGAAGCCTTAGACATGAACGTGGGGTGGGGGGAGGGAGAGAGATATAGGAAGAATCTGGAGGAGCAAAGAAGATAAAATGTTTGCAGCTCAAGTTTGACCACAGCTGAGGCCCAGTGAAAGCCATAGGGAGCCACAGAAGAAGAGAAGGAATTTGCACTAGCCCTGCCTAGCCCATGTGAAAGGCTGGGGAGGGGAGCCAGGCGCTACACACTGTGGGGAGAAAGGAAGGAATTGTATTTCTGGTGTAGTACAGGGCTCAGGTCAGTCAATGCCTCTATAACCCTGACATGATGGAGGATAAACAAATCCAGTGGCAACTTGAAGCCTAATAGTTTTATTATGGCATAAGCTTTTGTGAGCTTCAACTCAGTAACATCATTAGTCTTTGAGGTGCCACTGGTCTCCTCATTGTTTTTGCTGAAACCCGTCATAGACGTTGTGAATTCCCAGCCAAGCAAGACATTCAGAGCTGTTATTTGTTGGTTGCATTTACCCTGCCTTACCTGCCCACTGCCTTGGTGCAGGTTTTTGAATGTTCCATTTTGTCCAAAATAAAGGCAGGCTGGCAGGTGTGGGAAGGGGGATGGGACTGTTTAAATGCTTTCAAGTTAAAAATAATCTTGTTTTGTTTTCCATTGTGTAGTTTGAAGGGTTCCCCTAAGCTGCACACTCAGAATGAGCAGCCTTTCATCCAAGGCTTCTTATAGCTGTGGGTATCCGCATCCAGAGTTGTGAATATCAATTCTGTATCCATGCAGGGTTCTACTCATGCAGTTGGAGGGGCCCTGCAGAACACTGGACCTTGCTCTGGTCTCCTCACTGCATCTCCCTGCTGGGGATTGGCCTGAAAGGAGCTTGGCCCCACACTTTTCAATCTCATGCTTGAACAGCATTTTGAGCATCTTCCAGACTACTCCACATTCGATTGCTTGGGACTTGCCCCAGTCTACAAGCTGTAGGAGGCTGTGGAATAATCTCCTAGGTGAAGAGGTGCAGAGCCTTTGTAGCACATTCCACTTTCAAAGCACCTACAGAATATTCTTCCTTCCTCCCTCCCATTTAACAAAGGGGGAAACTGAATCAATAGCCATTTGACAAATGGGGAAACTGAGGCAGACAGGGTGAGTGGCTTGCTCAGGGCCACAAAGCAATTGGGGGCAGCACTCTGAAATCGTGTGGGGCAGACCAGCAAGATGTAGCCTCATCAGTTTATTTCATCCCTAATAATCTTTAGACAAACCTCATCCTTTGTCTACAGGCAAAGTCCTAGTCTTTTTCTCCTTGCCCTTCCCTCCTCCCTTCAGAAAGAAGGGGGCTGTGTCTACACTGGCGTGATCTTGCGCAAAAGTGGCTGCTCTTATGCAAAAACTTGCTGCCTGTCTACACTGGCCGCGTGTTCTTGCATAAGTAAACTGATGTTCTTATGTATGAAATCAGGGCTTCTTGCGCCAGAACTCTGATGCTCCCACTCAGGAATAAGCCCTTTTGCGCAACTGTTCTTGCGCAAGAGGCCAGTGTAGACAGGCAAGATTAATTTCTTGCGCAAGAAACCCCTATGGTTAACATGGCCATCAGAGCGTTCTTGCGCAAGAGAGGGTCTACACTGGCATGGATGCTCTTGTGCAAAAGAACATGCCAGTGTAGACACTCTCTTCTGGAAGAGATTTTGCACAAGAATTCTTCCCCAAAAGAATTCTTGCACAAGAAGCTGCCAGTGTAGACGTAGCCGTGATGTCTTGTCCAGCTCAGCTCCTGCCTGGCATGGCGACCAACAAGGCACAGCTCTGCCTTTCCTCTGTGGCACTTTTGTTTGCTGGACTAATAAAGCACCCATTGAAGCAGTTGCATATTGTCGTGTTGCTCTTCTGTCGTTAGATGACTGGTATGCAAGAACACCTAGTTAGATAGAATTTGGAACTGGGGAGAGAACACAGACAGGTGCTGCGCCAGGGCACCAGTTGGCCGTCAGCACACCTTGGTAGAGCCTGAAAGGCAGGGGATGAGACTCAACCAGCAGCCTCTGGGGAGTGGTTGGACTTAACAGTTATAGGGGTCAACTCAATGGTTCATCAAGCCCAGAATCCTGTCTTCTGATATTGGCTTGTCCCAGCTGCTTCAGGAGTGAAGAGACTAGGAAAGGGGTGGGGAAGCTTTTTCGGGTCTGGGGCTGCTGACCCACAGAAAAATCAGGTGGTGGGAGGGGGCTGCAAAGAGAAGCAAAAAAACCAACCAACCAACCAACCAACCCCAAAGCAAGCCCTCACTGACATAGCCCCCAACTCCCACACCAGACTGGTGGGAGGACCAGACTTGTAGACTTTGCATGCTCCAAGCCCACAAAGGGACAGTGGGGACCTGGAGTACCAACGTGGGCTCCCCAATGGTGGTGGGGAGGGGCCCATAGCAGCAGGGGCCGTATCCAGGTTCCCCACCCCTGGACTCGGGCAATTTATCGCCCCAGGGAGGCTAGGGCCACCAAGCATTGTGTGCCTGGCCATCTTGGCTAATAGCTATTGAGGTACCTAGCGTCCATGAATTTATCTAAATTTTTTTACGCTGGTTACATTTTTTTCTCTTCCCATTCTCCCATGTCAAGTGCCACATCTTGTGTGAAGTACTTTTTTTTTCTTGTTTGAAACCTGCTATATGTTAATTGAGTGACCTCCACCCCCTCCGGGTTTTGTATTTTGTTAAGGGGTAAATAACTCACTTTCTCCATAATATTCATGATTTTATAGACCACTACTATATTCCCCTATACATCTTGGAAAAAAGACTGAGAAGTCCCAGTTTTTTTAATCACGCCTCTTATAGCAACTGTTCCAAACTGTTGGCGAAAGACAGGCTTTTAGGTATCTTGAAAGCTTGGCTCTCACCAAGTTCACAAAGCTGTTTACCTTGCTCACCTTGTCTATCTAAGCGCGTGGGCCTCACATGGCCACAACACTACTTCCAATAGTTTCCCATCTTCATGTGCTATAACTGAATGGGACTTTTTCATTTGTCTCTCTCTTCCTGCCTGTACATTATCTCTGGACATCCACTTTAACAATCCTCCCCCCAGGACTGTGGCTGTCCAAATCATCTGCTCTTCCACACCTGTCAGCTTCCCTGAGCCCATCATTTAAAAAATCCCTCTGCCATTAATTTTACATGCCAGCAACATGCTGCCATTAGAGCCTGGTGTAAGCTGGAGCCTGGTGTAGGACGATGCTGCTGCAGTGGACTGGTACCTAGGTGCAAATAAACCTGTGCCAGCAACCAGCCAGCCTTAGCCACAAGCTATGGAGGCTGAATGCCCCTAAAACTGGACCCTGCCTCAGCTGTATAGCTAGAGGCTCAGGCAAACCTATGCACGGTTTAGTTTGCTTAGCCACGCGCCAGCCCCTTACCAGTTAACCCCCCGGGCCTAGTCCTCACATTGGTGATAGCAGGCACAAGATGCAAAGGGACATGAGCCATGGTCCACCTTTGTCTAGCTTCCCACAGCTTTGGCACAGAATAACTTTGCCCTAAAGCAACTAGCACCGGCCAACTTGCGCAGGGCCATGCCACACTGACCCCCCAGCCATCTGCCCTGGGGTGCCACCAAACGGCTGCTGATACCACCATGAGCCTAGAGGCCCAAGCTGAAGACGTGCCTCTGGCAGTGCCTAACGGGCTGCAGGCAGCGTTTTACCAACCAGTGTGACATGGCCTTGTGCAGGTGGCACAGGCCATTGGCTCTCAAAGGCCGTGGTGCAGGGAGACAGCCCACTAGGTGCATGGGGCACCTCAAAATATAGTATAAAAGTAACTGAAGCAAAGTAGAACACACACTAACCCAGGCATGGGCAATAATTTTTGATTGGGGGGGTGGGGGGAGGTATACCACATGTCTATAGAGATACTGTGGGGACCAGGATGCAGGAGACGATGTGGGAGCCGAGGGGGAGTTTGGGTGGAGCTGGCTATGATCTGGGATGCAGGGGCTGGTGGGGATATGGGTGCAGGTGAGGACTGTGGCCTGGAGAGGGGCTTAGGAAGGGGTGGAAGAAGGGGTAGAAGGTCTGGGTGGGAGTTGAGATAGACTCATAGACTCCAAGGTCAGAAGGGACCATTATGATCATCTAGTCTGACCCCCTGCACAGTGCAGGCCACAAAATCTCACCCACCCCTCCTAGAATAATCCTCTCACCTATATCTCAGATATTGAAGCCTTCAAATACTTTGAAGACCCCAAGATGCAGAGAATCCTCCAGCTGTGATCTGTACCCCATGCTACAGAGGAAGGCAAAAAACCTCCAGGGCCTCTGCCAAATCTACCCTGGAGGAAAATTCCTTCCCAACCTCAAATATGGCAATCAGCTGAACCCTGAGCATGTGGGCAAGACTCACCCATCTCATTGTTTTTAAAAAAGCCTCCAGTCCTCAAAGGAGGCAGTAAAATGTGAATCCTAACGATTCAAAAGCCAGAAGGCAAAAGCACAGAAATCCCAAATACAAGTGATTTTTTTAAACCCGATTCATTTTAAGCCAAGCTCCTGATTTTGTGGGCATGTCTTATAATGTGTAGGCACTCGGTTATCCTGTTAAGGCTTGGAATGGCTGCGGTGTGTGTCTAGACTACACCTTTCCAAAAAAACGTCACCTGCATCCACACTGCAATCGCATTCTTTCAAAAGAAAATCAAAAGAACAGAGGGGTTTTTCTGACATTGGAAAACCTCCTTCTATGAGGAGAGCGCTTTCACAAAAAGGCGTGTGTGGACGTAGAAGAGGGAGTTTTTTTGAAAGAAGAGGGAAGTAGAAAAAGTAGAGGTGCCCTGGTGGCCATTCTGTCCATAGCAATCACTGCTTATATGCAAGAGAGCATCGGGCAGTCTGGACGCTCTCTTTTGAAAAAGCAGATCGCGTTTTCGATGAGCTTTTGCAGCATGGACGCTCTCTTTCGAAAGAAGCCTGCAGTCTGGACGTACCTGGTTTGCCACGTGGGAAGAGGGCCCAGTGATTGTGTCAGGGTATGATCCCCATGACCCACCTCAGCCAGAGACTCGCACCTCACCCCAGGAAAGCCGTTGGGCGAGTCTTCATGAGACCACAGTAGCACAGTATTCATGTTACCTTCTCGTATGTCCCCGTCTCCTGTGCTCAGAGCAGGGCACCCTTGCAACTCACCAGCCCTCCCCTGCGTGTGCATGGACCAGGCAGGACAGCGTTTCAGTGCGAGGAGCATGCCTGCTTGAGGAGTACACAGGTCAGGCACACTTCGTCCAGCAGCCGCGTCCCTTGCGCTAGACAAGAGCTAGACCTGAGCTGTAGCCAAGACCTCCTTCAGGGCGGTTGCTGGGCGCACACACAAACAGCAGCTCCGCCCTGATGAGATGACTGGGGAATGGACGGCTGGCAGCACAAGGGCACCGTGCGGGCATGATACTCGCATGGGGGCTGGTCGGGCTGAAAAAGGCCATGAGGTGTTCTTGGTGCCTCCCCTTCTTCAGCCATCATAGAGCAAGCTCCTCTGGGGGGGTCACCTGTTTTAATCCACGGAGACACTGGCTCAGTGCGGCCGGCCTCGCCATAAGAACCGGGGGAAGAAAGATCTGCAATTGTGTGTCTAGGGAGATTGAAGTGTTCCCCTACAGGTTTTTGTATGTTGCCATTCCTAATATCTGATTTGTGTCCATTGATTCTTTTACGTAGGGACTGTCCAGTTTGGCCGACGTATATAGCAGTGGGGCATTGTTGGCACATGATGGCATATATTACGTTGGTAGATGTGCAGGAGAATGAACCAGTGACAGTATGGCTGATCTAGTTAGGTCCTGTGATGGTGTTGCTGGTGTATATATGTGGGCAGAGTTGGCACCGAGGTTTGCTGCATGGATTGGTTCCTGAGTTAGAGTTATTATGGTGCGGTGTGTAGCTGCTGGTGAGAATATGCTTCAGGTTGGTGGGTTGTCTGTGGGCAAGGACTGGCCTACCTCCCAAGGCCTGTGAAAGCAAGGGATCATTGTCCAGGATGGGTTGTAGATCCCTAATGATGCGTTGGAGAAGTTTTAGTTGAGGACTGTAGGTGATGGCCAGTGACGTTCTTTTGGCTATCACCTACAGCCCTACATGCTCTAACCTCAATAAGGTAGCTTTCTTTACCGATCCCTCCCATTTTCCTCTCCTTATATGCTTTCTGCTTTTTCTTAATCACCTCTCTGAGATGTAGGAGAGGGTAAAGATTCAGGAGGATTCTGGCCTCGGGGAGCGTTTAGGAGGGGGTGCAGGGTCTGGGAGGGAGTAGGGGAGCAGACTCTGGCTAAGAGGCACTCAGCTAAGCAACTGGAAGGGGGGTGGAGGAAGAGAGAAGCTTTAATGTATTGCCCACCCCCCAGCAAAATCTCTGAAAATTTTGCTGTGGCAGGGGAAGTGTGCACTAAGGAGAGGTGCAGTTGTGCAGGTCATACACAGCCACACACACTAGCTCACTGGACTAGGCCAGCTAGTCAAGGCCACACCCTATGCAGCAACATGCCAGGAGCAGCCAGCAGGAGTTAGCTGGGGTAAGGGCAGCACCTTTGCCTTGGACAGGCTTCCTGGGGGCTAAGGATGGAGTCCCTAGCCCTCATTCAGCACTGTGTGCTTTAGCACTGAGCTTTCCCACAAGCTAGGCAGAACAAGCTGCTCATCAGCAATCACGTTACAGCCACTTCTCCCTCAGAGGCAGCAGCGTTTGTTAAGGCCAAGATAGGCCCTTATCACATATGCTCAAAGGGGAGGGGCTCCTTGCCCTAACTTTCCATGGCAAAGATTTCTGGCAAAATTCCCAGAACTGCACTATAGTGAACAATAATGTGCCTGGGGAGCAAGGAAGAATATCAGAAAATTAGCTGAGGGGCACATTAAATAAGCCATCACCGCCTCTCCTTTACAACACCCCAGGAAATCGCCTGGTGGGCAGGAACCTCAGACTTCAACACATGTGTAGGGTCACTTACTGAGGTGCCAGTCACACTCAGATCTGCAGCATCACCTGTGGGTACAGAGCCCTCACCTCTATTTTAACTTGCTTAGAGATCCTCAGCTAGTTCTTGGCACTGAAGCTGCGAGGGGCTCACACTTCCAAGCGGAGACTCTTCTGGGAATTTATTCCAGCCCCCAAGTGTCAATCGCCTTCTTTCTTTACTGCTCCCATGTGAGCACGCTGAGTAGGGACCCAGCTCCACGATTCAACTGAGTCTACTCATTTCTAAACCAAGCCTGTTTTAATTGGGAAGTGGGGGTAAGAGAACATAGGCTCTGGCAATATCACAATGAACAGGCAAAAACCACGGGGGTCAGGTCTACTGGAGGGAGATCCACTCTAGAGTAGCAGGGGATTAGCAGATTAAAAAAAAGATGGGTCACACAGGCCCCACTCTCCAGTTAGATTAGGAATGCAAGCCTGGAGCAGCAGGAGACAGCTGGGCAATTTTAGAACCATAGAGAAGCAGACACCACTGCTGCTATTTCCAGCTGCATGGCCCAGGGCAGCATGAGATAGAAGCCACAGCACCATGCAAAAGCTCCGCTTACTACAGCTGCTGCTTCTTCAGAGAAACCCCATGTCCAGCACCTTCTGCCTGGCAGTAGCTTAGGCACAAGCCCTGTTGGCCCCAGTGAGCGCAATGGACCCATCTCTTTCCCATTTATGGAGAGCACTGCAGCCCCATGGAGGATCAGTTCTGGCCCATGGCCTGCCCTCAAGCCCATGGAATTCACTTTGGAAGTGGGACCATCAATTAAAAAAAAAAATGGAAAAACAAAGTAAAAAACCATCAGCAGGATTCCTCCGAGATTGTTAAAGCAGAAGGACAGACATCCCTGTGAGAGACAGCCAGCATGTTTCCATGGGTGCAGACATCCTCTCCCACCAGCTGGCTAAGAGCTCTTGCTGATAAAAGTCCTAGGAGGGGGAAGAAGCACAGCTGTGCTTCCACTACAGCTGGTGGAGGGTTTGCAGCAGCTTGTGGCGGGCAAAAGAACAGGAATCCAAAGCACGGTTGGGTCTGCAGAGAAAGGAGAGAAGAGAAAAAGGTCATGTAAAAGCTGCCCTGACTGGGCTTTAATCATTGCATACCAGCCCTCTGTGAGTTAATGGGCTCAGTGACACAGGATGGAGCCAGAAACTCAAGAATCAGCCAGCTTGACTATTTACCTGCAAGGGACTTAGACAGGGCCTTGCAAGGTGTAGGAATCACTGCACTGAACAAGCCCATTGCTCCATCTAGTTCTGAATCCCACCTCAGGCAGTGGTCAGTGTTAGCTTCCTGCCCCCCATATAGTGTATTGTGTGTCACTATTGTACAAGTGGCCTGAGGCATGAGTACTGATTAGCCCTGTAATGGTTCTTCTAGAGGAACCATGGTATAGTTACACAAACTTGCTCATCCTCCTTTCCTGAAACTTACCAAGCCAGCTGGCCTCTTACTTCTGTACAGGGCATAGGGGCAGAGGTTGCTAGTTACCACTGCAATAGGTTTTCACAGGCACATCCTTTGTACGCATTCACTACTTAGGCAGGAACTCTCCATGCTTTGTACCCACCAGTGTTCTCTGTAAGCTGTGCACTTGTGTGGCCACTCAGGAGAGATTCAAATGCTGTGCAGCTGACTAGCAGAGTACCCACAGCCAGGTTTTTGTTTCTACTGGTGATGCACATTTGAACGTGCCTTGGTGCACATAAATATTTATTCCACCCATGGACGGAAAAGATTGGAGGGAACATACCATCACTGAAAACATTCTGACCAACTCCACCCCCATCCCAGTCACAGAACAGCAACGTGTGCCATGATCCATCTGAGAGAAGTGGGATTCAACTGAAGCCTGGAACATTGAAACAAGGGACAGAGCAGCATCTCCTGGCTGGTAGCTGTGCACTTCAAGGTGTTTGACAAGAGGCAGGGCCCTGTATACTCTACGATCCACTGGACCAAATTCTCCAGCACTGTTATAGCATCGCCTCTCCATACCTGCCCCAACACACAACTGGCGGTGCTGAAGATGCCCACTGATGTACAATTCATTATATGACTTTGGATGAGGGATTTTTCACTGTTCTCCAACTAGCCCCGCTTGGTTTAGAAAAGGGAGAACTTGAACTAGTGAAGTGAACTGTATCAGAGTTCCCTGAACAGCAGTTGCCTGCACTTAAGGCTCCCTTTCTCCTGAGCTGGATGCTTCCTCGGGCTCCCTGCTGCCTGGTTCTATAGAACAGCAAAGGGATCATGTAATTTGTACACAATCCCTCTCTCCTCACCCCTTGTGGGGAACAGAGCTGAGAGAGGCAACTGCAGGCAAGTCCCAGCAAGGTTGGGGCACAAAACAAAATGGTGAGGGCTTAATTGGAGCGAGCTAATGAATTCTGCAGTATCTTGAGTGGGAGGGGGGGGAAGGAGGGCAGAAATTCCAGTCAGAGGATCAGCCCTCAGCACCCATCAGGGCACTCTGTTCAGGCCCTTTGTGGAGTCAGATGGGCAGCGCTTCTATACCTTTGAGGTTCTCTTACTCTCAATAATCAAAGCTAGAAACAATTTAAAAGGACAAATTGTCTCTCTGAATGAGTTCTATGGACAATCCCTTGTCGCCAAAGTCCTGTGGGCCCTGGCTATGAGCATTTATAACTTCTCCTACTGAAGCAGGGAGAGCCTGGAAATTCAAGAGGTGCAGCCCCTTGTACTGCGAGGTAATGGAGCTTGTAGGCACAGCAAGCAACAGCAGCTTTGACTGAAGCAACTCACAGGAACTCTGTTGCTCCACAAGCCCATTACAAAGGTGCTGATACGTTGACAAGGGCAGGAAGGCTGCTGGAGTGGAGGCTCGGACCAATGAGCCAAAAAGGCTGCATAAATCCCCCAGAGAAGCTGAGAAAGGCTGTTACCTGAGCGCTCCAATGAGCAAAAGATGGCTCTGTAGTGAGCTGGACCGGACCAGACAAGACAAGACAAGCCCCTCAGCATCTGAGTTTCAGGCAAACTGAGGACACAGATGACTCTGGGATTACCAAGAGCTTTTATGAAGTCCTTTGGACACACACAGCAATTCTCTAGAGAACCTGCATAGCTTCCAGTTCCCTCTAACTCCCACAGCCAGGGCATTAAATGCAAAGGCAAAGAAAACAAGCCCTGAACCACAAAATATGCTCTCCTGCAGGGTTGTCTTGGCCTTATTGCACATCTTCCTCATATTACTGCCCACCATAGGTTAGCACTGGGAAGGAAGCTTTCATTTGGACAGCGGCATGGCTTCACTGCTTGACTCTGCAGATTTGGTACTAGCTTGTTTTTTCCTTTTGCTCTCACCATTTACAAAAACATTTCCTTTGCAAAAGTCACTTGGCTGTTGATTTGACGGTTACAGTAAGACACGCATATACCTCCCTCTGTTGCCACCCCTGCTCTTTTCCCCCCATCCTCTGAAAAACTAGACTTCTCCTCTTCCCCATTTTTAAGCAAGGCTGGCAAATGCCAGCCTGCAGTTGCAGGCTGGCGTTTTGCCATTGACATCAATGGAGACAAGTTTTCACTCTGGAAGCCCTACCCATTTATACCAGGCCTGTCACTGGGGTCCCCAAATGTCTAGATGAGTGGCTCTCAACCTGCAGCCCAATCAGCACACAGCTGCAGCCCACACACCAGTCTTAGGGCCACACAGATAGGATGTATACAGTGGGGGTGTGGTCACACAGGTAAATCATTTGAGAACCACTGATCTAAATGCAGCAAAATCATGGCTGCCATTGTGCTTAGTGCACTGTGGGCATAGCTCAGACTGAGCCATGAATGAATTCAATATGCCCAGTCACCGGACACTGTCAGTCAGAGGTTATGGTGCACAAGAAACATGTTATTGGTGCACCTGACTCTATAGCAGATCCCAGGAAGTGTCACTTAGAAATGTGTGTGTCACAGGCAGCAGCACAAGGCTGGAAGTCTGGGATAGGAACACCGCTCCCTTGGTCATTTTAAATTGACAGGTTCGGTGACTGGAGGGCTTGGGGGGCAGTGCAGTTCCTGCTCCTCTTTACATGAGGAGAGGCAGCTTCAGTGCTAGAAAGGTGGTAAAGGAAGGACAGGACTGCGACTGCTACTGCTGCTTGTTTGTTACAGCCTGCCCTCCTACCTGTTCCCTTCAGCAGAAACTGTTCTGGCCAGCCCCCCGTTTCCTCATCCTTCCTTTGGGGACTGCAACAACCATGCCCAGGCATGAGCGAAAGGTGAAAAGCTGTAGGAGAGAGGTGAAAAGCTGTAGGAGAGAGGTGAAAAGCTGATATAGTCTCTCCCCTTCTCCTGGAGAGATGGAGGGAGAAGGGATAAGAACTGGAAGCTCAGGCTGGTCTAGGGACAAGAATTCAGACAAGCCATTAACAAGAGCATTGGAATTCACAGACCATAGATCTAAGCGTTCCAGTTCCTCCACCCAACTCCGTTTAACTTCAGTTCTGACAGGACAACCGCACTTGCTTTGATCAGGCTGACATTAGGCAGAGCCAGACAAGGACTTCTTCCCTCGCTCTTTTCATATTACCACTGGCATTTGATCCTCGTGCTAAAGAGCAGCTGTAGCAGTTCAGGAGCCTTCTAGAAACCACTGCCAAAGCTCCGTCAGCCTGCTTTAAGATATGGCTCAACAGAAGAAAGATGGAGGTGACCAGAAGTTTCCCCATCAGCCATCCTGTGGTAGGCTGAGGATTCACAGACCAGTTTCCACTTACCAGATGCTTACTGGCCTGGTTGCTGGCACCAAGAACTGCACAGGCCAAGGAGAAAAGGGACCGCACAGACTGAATTCTCTCACACCACTAGTGGTTCCTCCAGATTAGGGTTCATGCACAATGCTGGGAAGAAGCTGTAACTAGCTTCCCAAGCTTTAGGTTCTAGAACTCCAGTTCTAGCTCCCAATTGCTGTATAGCTACAGGAGTCTGGTTTGGCCTCCCTTTGGCAGCTTTCTATGCAGCTACCTCTGCTGCTATAGCAACACTGTCCTTCTCATGTGGAATGAGCCCTGAACCAGTGATGCAAGTAAATAAAAGTTCTTGCCCATACGGGGGAGGGGGGAGGCACACCAGCTAACAGGGAAACAAGTGATATCCCCAAGTGACTTGGCCCCTCCCCCAACCTAGGACACCCCATGCTCTTCCCCTCCCCCATCCCACATTACCTGGGAGGAGGGGGACTGGAGCAATACAGCAACTGGAGGAACGGCTGGCAGTTCTTCTCCATTCCCCACTGCCTCACCAGTTTTAAGACCACCTTTAGAAAGTCAGTTTCACAGTTCATTACCCGTGATCAATGCTTCTTACCTTGTGAATGTGGGACTAAGCAAGATAGGAACAGCTTTTCTTAAAATTGTTGCATTTGTATTCTTGACTCCCCACACCCAGGAGGTTTGAGGGAAGAATATGTATTTTTCTTTTTAACTCAACCATACACAGAAGGGTTCTAACTTCCTACAGAACAAGATAGCCTGTAACATGCAACACTCACTTTGTCACAAAGGCCAGGAGAACTGGGGCCAGGGATTTGGGGAAATAATCTTGCTGGACCATATGATTCAGGGCCATCAGAGGCCCATAGAGGCTTGGGACAGGCTTGATCTTCTCTTCACTCTGCCAGTTGGGAAAAGACAGACAAATCAGGCACATAGCCACACCAAAAGCAGCGCATTCCATCTAGTCCATTATGCTGTCTGACTGACCAACCCGGTGCCTATAAAAAAGACAAACAGACCTCACATGCAGAAAAGGAAAGAAGTCTGTTTCCAGCTGGGGCTTTAGTCTCCACAGTAAGTCATGGAAAGGACTAATTCTGGAGATCAGCCTAATTTACATAACAGATGCTATGGTTATTCACACAAATACCTAATTCTTTGCTGGAACTGGCCTTCCCATCTGCAGGAGGAGGTAAAGCTGGCTCCTGTATTCTGTGCAATGGGTTATTCAAGACATGAGCAATCAACTCTCTCCCCATCCCGAAAGTGTATGTCTCAAACACAGCCACCAGGAAGATGACAGCATGTTTCAATTAGGGTGTGACAATATTGTGAGGTGTAGGCAATTTAGACAGTTCACATATACTTCTTCCAGAACTTCCTTTCCAGATACCTGCTGAGGACCCTCCCTCCAGCTGAGAAGGAAGCCTACAATTCTTGCTAGATCCAAGAGGGCAGTTATTCCCTCTTGTGTGCCTCTCCCTCTTCCAAGCCTATTGTTCCCAGTCACTCCCAGAATCAATTCCAAGTTTAAAGCCAGAAGGGTCCATTAGCTCATCTAGTTCAACAACCGTTCTATCACAGGCCACAGAATTTCCCCTAGTAGCCCTGTGTGGAGACAAATAACTCATGTTTGGCTAAAGCAGGTCTCCCAGAAGGACGATGCATCTTGATTGGAAGACACCAAGAGATGGGAGTATCCACTGCTTCACATGGGAGTTTGACCCAATGGATAATCACCCTCACTGTACAATTCAAACTAGGAAAACAAGGCATACGGTCTAAATTCCAGCCACTGACTGGTTCTTGTTATGCCTCTCACCATTGAATTTAAGAGCCCTTCTATGCCCAGTGTTTTCTCCCTATCAACATACTTACACATGAATAGTGTCTTCTTTTTGATAAGCTAGGATTGAGCTCTTCAAGTTTCTCACTGTAAGGCACTTTCTGAAGCCTCTGAATCATTTGTGGTTCTGTTCTGCACCCTTTCCAATTTTTAATGTCCTTTTGAAAACTGCTGACCCCAAAAATGTAGAGTATTCCACCATCAGGCTCCCCAGTGCTGTCCACACAAGTGAAGTCCCCTCTCTACATCCACTCTCCCATGTATACAGCCAAGGTTGCATTAGCCCTTTTTGCCACACCATTGAACTGGGAGCTCATGCTGAGTTGCTAGGTTCATCATGATTCCAATATCCTGTTTGGAATCACTGCTTTCCAGGATACATGGTCTTCCCTATTTCTTTGCATTTGGTTAGACTGAAAGTGCATTTTGTTTGAATGAGCCCAGTGATTGTAGATGGAGACAACTCCAATCCTCTTTTGGCTCAGTTCATGCTGTAGCCTAGGTGCAGGTTCTATTGCGGCTAACTTGCTGCTGATTCTCAAAACAACAATCCTGCTAATGGATTTTATTCTGTGCAGCCTCATACTGGATGCTCCAGGTATTAGCAAGAACACTGGATAGAAAGAAGCTGAAAGTATCAGTCAGATTTATTTATTTATTCTTGCAGTGGTCATTTTAAAAAGAAAAATCTGATTAAGAGTGGCCAGGGTGATGAATAGATATTTATGATATTACAGTGAGGAGCCTGACAACCAGTAACTCATATTTTATGAGGCTTCTATAAAAAGCTTCATCCAGTAGCAATCCAGTTTGACAGCCTGGCTCTTCCTGCCTTACAGAAATACCCAATCTTGAAAATACAAGTCAGGCCTAGTAGACCAGAGTAGAGAACAGTCAACCCTTGCCCTCCACCCTAGCATAATCCCACTCTCTGGAATTTGTTATCCCTGCTGATTTCTATTGTCCCTAGGCATTGGGCATGCACAGGAATCTTACTGTTGCCATGGAGAAAAGAATATGATTATCCACAAGCCAACAAACCTTAGCTTTTCAAGCAGAAATACAATCAGAACTCAGCCCACCCCACCCATCACAGACCACTTTAACTCTCTCCTGCCCTCTCACCTTGAGCAGGCCCATGTGGATCAGTAGACTGGTGATGAAGGCATCAGAATTAAAGGTGGCGGAAGTGAAGGCTTTTCTCATCAAGGCATCTAGAGAAATAAATGTGTTAAGCTGAAGAGGGCAGTAAGATACTGTAGTGATGATAGTTCATTTCACTGCTGGATTCAGTTACATTTATCTTATCTGAAGCCACCTCACTCTCCAGGTTCTGCACTGGAATGCCACCCAGATAGGGAGCTTCAGTGCAGAATGTAAGGTCAAGTTTGCCATTGAGTACAGCAGGCCTTGACTATTATCAGCTGTTAGATCAGCCTTGGGAGGCCACATCCCTTTAAATACCCTGGTTGTCTCTGCTGCCAGAGAGGTTATTGCAGGCCAACAGTGAAAGCAGGCAGTTGAAACAGATGAGGCACAGATTAGAGGAGACAGCCCAAGAAGTCACACAGAGTCCAGTCTTTAGCACGGGGGCTGCTTAAAAGACCTGGGGACTATGGCTGAGGCAAAGAAGTGTTGATTGATTTCAGCCACAAACAATGCAAGAAATGGTCTCCCTGGGTGTGTTTGTCCAACAGTCAGTCAAGCCTACCTCTCATGGTGACAAGCTTGACTGACTGTTGGACTGTAGGTTGGTCTCACTGCCCTTTAAAATAACAAAAGCCACAGGCTCCCTTTGGCTGTCATCCACTGGGTGTGCATTTATTTGCTTTGGTTTCCAGCAAGGAGGTCTCTGGTTCTCAGAATTTCTCAAGATCAGCCACAGGGTCTCTGACCCTTGTCCTCCTTGGTTAATTAAGGAAAGTGGGGTGGCTATGGGACCATCTGATGTTTCCCTCATGGAAGATCAGACATTTTTCACCACACAGATACCTCATCCTGAAGAAATCATCTCTTGACATTGCAGCAATTGCCAGACAGCTTGTTAGGGGAGGCAAAGGATATTCAGATCCAGGTGCACTTGGACGTGAGTAACATAAAGAACTGGTTTCATACTGGATGGCAGCATCTCACAGGAGCAGATGCAGAGATAGTCCGGGCCATGTACCAGGCCCTATCAAATTCACGGACATCAAAACGTGTCATGGACTGTGACATTGGATGTTGTGTGTGCTTTTACCCTATGCTATGCAGATTTCACAGGGGAGACCAGCATTTCCCAAATTGGGGGTCTTGACCCACGAAGGAATTGCAGGGGAGATGAAAGCTTTTTTTGGGGGGGGGGTAGTATTGGCACCCTTACTTCTGCACTGCCTTCAGAGCTGGGTTTAGAGAGCAGCAGCTGTTGGCTGGGTACCCTGCTCTGTTGGCAGCAGCACAGAAAGATGGCAATACCATACTATGTCATCCTTACCTCTGTGCTGTTACTGATGACAACTCTGCCTTCAGAACTGAGCTCCTGGCCAGCAGCCACCACTCTCCAGCTGCCCAGCTCTGAAGACAGCCAGCCACTGACCCCAGCAGAGCTGAAATAAGGGTAGCTGTGTTTCAACCCCCTCTACAAATCTTGCAGTCCCCCCCAGAACTTGCCTTTGGGTCACAACCGCTAAGATTATAACACTGATATTTCAGATTTAAAATAGCTGAAATCATGAAATCCATGATTTTTAAAATCCTGTGTTTGTGAAATTGACCAAAATGGACCCTGAATTTGGTAGGGTCCTCACCATGTGTGATCTCCTGCTGACCTCAGAGGAAGCTCAGCTGGACATTTTTATAATGCAGAACCTTGCAGCAGCCTTTGATACAATTGACCATGGGTTGTTGCCTCAGCAATAAGGGACATTACCGGTGTGCACAAAAACCACCCTTTAGTGAATTTTGCCCAGGAAGGCCATCCCTGGGACTTCTTTAGGGGCCACCATTATAAGTTAGGCTCCCTTGGCCCCACTTTTGCATGGAGACACAAACCTGTTGTTTCATGCACTGCTGTTTTCACTGTGGTTTCATCTTTGAACACAGAAGAGATCTTCAGAAGAGCCGCAACCACCTTCTCTGTATCAGATGTGTCTGTCTGTCAGACAAAAAGCAGGTGCCAGTAAGTCCATGGCAGAGTGAGCACAGAAAAGACACTACAGAACCAATGAAAAGTGCAACAATTGCCTCCAACTGGCTGCAGAAGAAAGTAACGGTCCTGGCTGCACCAGGATGCATAGAGGCCTAAGCCATGAAATGCAGCTGCTGTGCTGGCACCATACTTACTTATACACATACAGCTTCAAGTTGTCCAAATGAAAAGTGTGGAGGTAGACAAGACAGGGATCCTAATCCAGGTCATGAAACCCCAGGAGGAGATCAGCTCTGACAGTTAAACAATATATCCCATCACTCATCACACCAACCACACCATGAGAAAGCCTTGTGCAAAGCAGCCAGTGACCACCTACCTGCTGAGCTATCAGAATGGAGCACTTAGGCCCTAATCGCAGCAGTTTCTCTGGCGATGGGAAGGCGAGGAATGTGGCAACGTCCACAGGAGGAGGAGGAGAAGGAGACACGGGAGCAGAGTCCTGAAACACAGTGAGTCTGATCTCAGCTCATTCTGCAGAGCACTGGCAGAGTTGTGGGTGCATGAATGCAAAGGGAAGTGTGATGGACTTGGTACAGCGAGGGTGAAGCAGGTTGCCGGTCATCTGCATTGTCAGAACTTGTGAAGGGGTGTGAAAAGTGAGCCCAGGACTAAACGGAAGGGGTGCTACACTAACAAAGCTCTGTGGTGAAAGCTTGCCCAGCAAATGCTCTGACTAATTGGCTCAGCCAATACTGTTGGCTCTACAGAAAATGTTGGAAGAAATAAGATTTTCCCACTAGTTTTCTTCAAATTGTCACCGAACTATCTTGAGGCACTGTTCTTTCACCCTCCTCTTTTACCCCACCCCTGCTCTGACACATCCCTCTAGCCTAAGAGGTGAACACTTAAGAGGCATGTGAATCCCCAATTATTCTCTACGAGTTCATAAAAGTCTATGAACAGCTTCCCACATTTCAAATCTCTTTTCCCTACTCCAAATAAGGGATTACTGGCTATCTTTCAAAGCACATTTACATGGGAGTCTAGGATCTTCTTAGAAGGCAGTGATTCCTGTTCCCCTTGCCCTCTCTCCTGCAACTGTTGTTGTTCTTCCTCTTCTTCTTCCTCCTCTTCATCCTCCTCTTCATCATCTTCATCCTCTTCATCCTCCCCTTCGTCATCACTAAGAAAAGTTAAGAGGAGAGTTTACATGAATAGGAAGCCTGCAATACACTGGCACCTAAGTATACTTTTCCAGGTCATAACAAAATGTAGTAAGACCTTTCCAAGCTTTAAAATGCTAGGGCTGGGGTCACCAGAGCACTCTTTCTCCACTCCCCATGACAGCCACGCATTTCCTGAGAAGTTGAAGCTGGTGCAGTCCCAGGACGACTCCTCCCTCCACTCCCACCCATGCAGGAAGGCAGCAGGGGGAAGGAAGTTCCCGGTGGCGCAAAAGACCCGCCTTTTCAGGAAGTGTTTACCAGCTGTTTAGGGGAGGAGAAGAGCAGCCTGCGCACTTCCTGAGACCCCAGACCTGGCACGCAGCTGTGGGATCCCCAAGTACTGGCCGAGCCGTCCCTGTCCCTGCCCCCCCCCTGGCCAGACCACCATGAGTACCCAGCCCCAACCAGCACCCTACTCCTGCCCCCCCCACCAGAATCCCACCTGCGCAGGCCCCCACCAGCACCTCCCTGCCCCTGCCCAGACCCCCACCAGCACCCTGCCCAGACACCATCCAGCACCCTGCCCTTGCCTTATGGCCAGACACCCACCAGAACCCTGCTCCTACCCCCTACCTCCCGGCCAGACACCTATCCCCATCTTGCTCCTGTACCCTATTTTCCACCCAGATTCTGCACCCCCATCCCTATCCCACTCTCTGGCAGCTCTGTCCTACACACTGGATCCCTCATTTCTGGCCCCACCACAGAGGTAGAGGGGCCCACAAATTCCACTAACCCTGGAACCCAAAGGAGTTAATCTGGCCTGGGGCTAGAGTGCCAGGGGAGTGAGGTGTCTCAGCTGGGGCCCCATTAGTAAGGCTTGGGGGGTTCTGGAGTGAGTGGTTGTTTTTTTGCATCTCTCGTGTGGCCCCGACTAACTTTTCTCTGGGTCAGTGACCCCTGACTCAAAACAGGTTCTTCTCATAAAGAAAGATAATGTTGAAACATTGTGTTTGACATAATATTTTATTTAAAAATTAAGCCTGGCCAACAAGCCCCCAATTGTGGCCAATCCCCACCTGCCCACATCATAACACTCCTGTGCCCCCCATAGATCCCAAACCTGACCCTATCATACACCACAACCCGCTGTCCTGAGCCTCTCACATCCCCCAACCTCCTGCACTTCCACATCCCCAGTCTTGTGCTACAACACTCCAGCACCATCCGCACACTGCAAACCTATGCCCTGAGCCCCTCATATACCCCAACCTAAACTCCTGCACCCTCACATACACAAGCCTCTCAACCCTCCACCTGACCCCAACACTCTCCAGCCTGGAGCCCCTTCCCTGAGCCAGCCTCCCCTTCTCTCCCTCCTGCTGCACCCAAATTCTCTCCCAGAACTTGCACCTCTCATCCCTTCCCACACCCAAATCCCTCATTCCCACCCCAGAGCCCGCACCTCCTGTCCCAACCCAGTGAGAATGAGTAAGGGCTGGGGACAGCAAATGGTGGAGAGGAGGGGAACAGAGAGTGTGGGACCTCAAGGAAGGAGTGGGGCCGTGGGGAAGGATGGGGCAGATCTTGGCTTGCCCTGACATTTAAAGCGCAATCTTGGGTGTAAGAAGGTGGGAGACCACTGCACTAAGGTTACTGAGAACAAATCACTTCTGAGGCAGAGAGTATAAACATTTGGGGAATGCAATGGATTATGGAGCCAGCTATGTTCAAGTCACCTGATCTGACCTCAGAGCAGTAGTGGGACTGGTTCCCACCTGACAGCCCTTTGGCAGTGGATGAAGCAGTGTCAAGAATCTCAGCCCAATTACTAGTGGACAGGCATCCACAAAACACTAGAGAAAGCACTGAGTACAGGCAAGAGAGCTATGTAGGCCAGGGAAACTGTGCTCTCCTCTCACTCCTCTGGAGCTCCCACCAAATCAAAGGTTTGAGGCACAGTGAGGGGGTGGGATTTGCATATCTACTACAGATAGAAAATTGTAGTCTCCAGTCTTGTTAATTCAGCATCTCTCAGTAGTGACAGACCCCCTTAAAAACATGAACTTGCATGAAACAGATGTAAATTGCAGTCAGAGCACTGATATGAATGCTGAGCAGACCTCTGCCACAGCCTTTTCCAATGGCCTACCTCAGGGAACCCAACACATCTGCCATGTTGAAACCTTCAAGAATCTCCTGAAGCTGTTCACAACCTTCTTCCCCCAGTGCATTACCTAGGATGCAAGAAAAGAGAAGTCAGGTGGGGGGAGCAGAGGGAAAAGAGTCAGACACTCTCAGACTTGGCGCTGAATTGGTCACAGGAAAAAAAAGTTAAGTAGAGCCTGCAGTGAAGTCCCTAAATCAAACCCAACTGCAGCTGGGAGGATGGCTACTTGATTTGCATTTCTTTAAATACCTTTCACAAGCTGCACAGACAGCAGACTTCCATTGAAACCGATCAGCTGTTCACCTACTCAGACACCACACAATGAATTGAGACAAGAACATTACAGAATACAATTGCAAGGGAAGTTTGAAGGAGGAAGAATGTAATTAATCAGAAAAGTCTTGGAGACTGAACTCTCTATATCTTTCATCTCCGAGGATTCTAAAGCACTAATTACAGTTAGGGCCCTACCAAGTTCACAGCCATGAAAAACATCTCACAGACCATGAATCTGGTCTTTTGTGTGTTTTTACCTTATACTATAGGGTTTTCACAGGGGTAACCAATGTTTCTGAAATTGGGAGGAGATCTGATCCAAAAAAGAGTTGCAGGGGTTATTTTACTGCGGCTGTGGTATTGCCACCCATACTTCTATGCTGCATTCAGACCTGTGGAGAATAGCAGCTGTTGGCTGGGTGCCCAGCTCTGAAGGTAGAGATTTGACAGCAGCAGCACAGAAGTAAGGGTTGCAAGATCATACTACATCACACCATGTCTGTGCTGTTGTTGGCATCAGCTCCCAGCCAGCAGGCACTACTTTGAAGGTAATACCCCTGCCAGCAACAGTTCAAAAGTAAGGGTAGCAGTAGTTCAACCCTCTCCACAATAACCTTGCAAACTCCCACCCCCCAACTCCTCTTTGCATCAGAGACCTACGATTACTACACCGTGAAATTTAAAATGTAAAAAGCTAAAATAATGAAATTTATAATTTTTAAAGTCCTATGACCATGAAATTGACCAAAACGAACTGAGTTTGGCAGGATCCTATAAAGTACCACTAAAAAGCAGCTACCTCTAGGAGGGAAGACAGCACAACAACGATTTGGAAACTTCGACCAACGACACAGAAACAGGCTTGAATGAAAATCTAATAGCATCATGGGATCTCTGACACCAATGCAGTACAGACAGGACTTTGTTTTCACACCCTATAGACGCATACAGCCATATGGTACTCAGATGTATTCACTTCAGGAAGTGGCTGGGATAAGCTGCCAGAAATTGAAGCTATGGCTCAAGAGGTTTAAATATAACCATTAAAGTCTTGAGGAAGAGGAAAGAGCTTATTTGCTTAGTCGGTTCAGTTGCTCTCAGCAGCCCCAGTATTTTATACATAGACATGTCTGGCAGCAATACAGATGTTTCAATCCCACAGGCTTCTTCCCAATGGTTTCTAGAGTTAGTCATGGACCAGACAAATTTTGATCTAATTTCATGCTCACGTACCATTGAGATCCAGCTTCTCCAATTCAGACTTGTCTTCAGTAGCCTCTGCAATAGTCAGAGCAGCATCTCGTTTGATTTCACAGAAGGACAAGTTCAATTCCTGAGAAGCAGAGGAAGTGCGTTATGGAATGCTGCATGTCATTTCTCCATTATGAAAACCAACTTCACATGCGCAGAATTGTCTAAGAAACACTCTCCTTTGGGGCTGGATTTTTTTTAAGTTATAAAAAGACTTGGAAGAAAATTAGTCAGTGAGCAACGATTAAATGATGCTGATAAGCCAAGAAGCGAATAAGAAATTATACCATGGGCAACACCATGCATCTGATTCAACGTAAGAAAGGGGGAGAAGATACAAGGTGTTTTGGGAAGAGATTTGAAGATGGAGCAGTAGAACAGGATACCTTTAGTTTAGGGAGTCCTTCTTTGACAGCTTCGGCAATGGCAACGGCACCCTTTGAGCGCACCAGGCAGTCCCCAAAGTTGATCACTTCTACCTGACGGAGAGTCTTCAGGGTCTGCAAAGTGAGAGCAGGAAGGCAGTAATTCAGGGTAGAGGCAATGGCTAATTCACTCATACTCAAATAAGGAAAGAGCATTTTCTTCCTCCCTGCCTCACCAGGACATTCCACCCCAAGCACTGAACACCCTTCCACTGTTAACACGGGGAGGGAGGGAGGGAGGGAACAGAACACACCTAATGCAACAGCTAATAACTCACCTCAGCCATGGCCACTGCCCCTTTCTCTGCAAAGGTGTTGTCATTCAGATTAATAACCCTCAGCAAAGGGTTGGCAGCAAAAGCCTGGGCCAGTGCTGTGATGCCAGGATGGTTTATTCCGTTCTGTGGCATATGGACCTCTTCCAGGGTCCCAATGAGCTGGATTCAGACAGGATTAGCCATTAGAAAAAGACACTTCAACGCAAACAGACAACCATCATCCCACCAGATTACGTTACAAGGTGCTTCTTTGCCACTCACAGCAGGTTTACTAAATTGCCTGCCAGAATCCCTGCGACCCTTTTAGCTGCTAGAAGTACACTCCTCGCGCCCCAGCAGCTAGGTCTCCAATGACAAATCAAGACAGGACCCATGTTTTTATTTGCTGAGTCAGAGCTTACAATGTCATTTCGTTCAGTTCTTTTATGAGCAATTCTGAGCCTTGGGGTTACCAGCCAGAAGTGACTAAAGAAGCGGCTTTGCAGATCAAGGCACATGACCACTTGGCACAATCAAAATTAGGGATGTTAACAACCACTTAGGGTATGTCTACACTACAAAGTTAGTTCGAACTAACTTTCATAGGCGCTACACTAGTGCTCTGTTAGTTCGAATTTAATTCGAACTAACGGAGCGCTTAGTTCGAACTAGGTAATCCTCATTCCACGAGGATTAAGCCTAGTTCGAACTTACTAGTTCGAATTAAGGGGTGTGTAGACCCTTAATTCGAATTAGTGGGAGGCTAGCCCTCCCCAGGTTTCCCTGGTGGCCACTCGGGCCAACACCAGGGAAACTCGTCTGCCCCCCTCCCAGCCCCGGACCCCTTAAAGGGGCACGGGCTGGCTATGGTGCCCGTGCCAGGTGCAAGCCTGCCAGCACCCAGCCAGCAGACCCTGCACCTGGCACGGATCGAGCCACCCACCCGATGCCCCCCAGCCCTCCCCCTCTTCCCGGGACCAGGCTGGCGGCTCCCGGGAGCTTGCCCAGGACCGCAAGAAGCGGGCACCCGCCTGGGCTAGTGCGGACATCGTGGACCTCGTCCATGACCTCCGCACTAGGCACAGGAAAGTGGCCGGCTAGGGCAGGAGAGCTGCCAGCCTGGCCACCCAGGAGCAGGTGTGCATGAAAATCAAGGGGGTCCACTGAGACCCCCGACCCTGAGCCCTGAGCTTACAATGGCCATACTGGGTCAGACCAAAGGTCCATCTAGCCCAGTAGCCTGTCTGCCGACAGCGGCCAACCCTAGGGACCCTGGAGGGGATGGACCGAAGACAGTGACCAAGCCATTTGTCTCGTGCCATCCCTCTCCAGCCTTCCACAAACCTTGAGCAGGGACACCACTCCTACCCCCTGGCTAATACCACTCCATGACTTGATCTCACTTCCCTTTAAACTCTGTTCTAGTTCTAGCCTTCACAGCCTCCTGCAGCAAGGAGTTCCACAGGTTGACTCTTTGCTTTGTGAAGAACAACTTTCTGTTACTAGTTTGAAGCCTGCTACCCATTCCTTTCCTTTGGTGTCCTCTAGTCCTTCTTTATGGGAACTAATGAAGAACTTTTCTGTATGCACCCTCTCCACCCAACTCCTGCTTTTAGAGACCTCTATCCTGTCCCCCCTCCGTCTCCTCTTTTCTAAGCTGAAAAGTCCCAGTCTCTTTAGCCTCTCTTCATATGGGACCTGTTCCCAACCCCTGATCATTTTAGTTGCCCTTCCCTCTCCCAGCCTCTCTCTTCCCCTCTCCCACCTCCTTTTCCCAGTCTCCCCCAGTTTTGTTCAATAAAGACAGATTCCATTTTTGAACACAATTGTCCTTTATTTTGTACATCAAGAAGAGGGGCTAGGGAAGGGTAAGTGGAAGGAGGTGAGGGAGGAATGGGGTATGAGCCCCTGATGGGGAGGACTGGGCTGGCTCTGCAGGCTTTTGGGGTGGAAGCTCTCCTGCAGCCCCCCAATTGCCCCTTCTCCCCAGATGGCAGCCTGCGGCAAGTGCAGCCGGTCTGATGGCCGAGTGCTGTGACGTGCCCAGTGTGGGTACTCCGGGCAATCCAAGCCAGGACTACTTTGCAAGCAGGGCACCCCTGAGAACTGTCTGTTCGGGGTGGGGATCGGGACCCTTTAAGCACAGCCCTCGGCTAGCCTGACACAGCATCTCCACGCTCTAAGTCCTCCTCTGATGCCCTGCCGGCACTGCTTCCGGCCATCCTTAAGCCCGGTTCAGGGTCCACTTAATATGGACATGCTAGTTCGAATTAGGAAAACGCTAATTCGAACTAGTTTTTTAGTCTGGATCCGTTAGTTCGAATTAACGTTGTAGTGTAGATCTACCCTTATTGATTAACAGTCCTGGTTAACTGCAACAACACCCCCACCCCACGCTCTGCATTTAAGACATGGAACAGCAGGCTGGGCTCAGTCCAAGCCCACAGGTCTGAGTTTTCAAATGAAGAGTAGGCAGGGGAGCCACCTGCCACCCCACACTGATGCCTCTGATATAGAGGCAGCAGCACGGGGCAGCAGCAGCTCCTGTCCACAGAAGGCCCAACCTCCCCGCAGAGGCTGTTGCATCTATATCAGAGGTAGCAGTGCAGGATGGCAGGAGGGTTTTTTAAGTTGGCTCCCCACATGGACCGACATCTACCTGCCGCCCCGCCCTACTGCCTCTGATATAGCACAGAGCTGGGAGCACACTGGCTGCTGGCTCTGCCCCTGGGGGGCATTGAATAACTGTGTAACCACTAAGAAATGTAGTGGTTCCATGATTATTAAAATAACCGCTTTCTAATATCCTTAATCTAAATCTGTTGCTTTTTTTTTTTTTAAGTTCTGCTACTCGCTTTTCTGGTTGCAAAGGAAACCCTCCAAAATGGGAATCTGAGCAGTAGTTAGGTTTTTCGGATAGATGGCATATACGATATACAGTGTAAAAATAAGAGTATAGCCCACATAAGTCTGACTGTTTTGCTATATGGAAAAAAAAAACCAGAATGTCATCATTTAGGAACTGGAGGCAGAATTTGCATGTCCAGGCTGCAGGGAGGTGCCTATCTTTCACAGATGGTAAGGCTTAGCACACAACCCTCTCCTAGGCATCTCTTTTATTGGGCCAACTTCAGTTGGTGACACACTTTCCAGCTGCACCAAGGTCTTCTTCAGGACTGGGGAAGGTGCTCCCAGCATCATAGCAAAATGCACAGTGGAACAGATAATTTAGCACAAGCAGAAAGCACATATTCTAAAGCCGTGGTTATTAGGGATGTAATAGTGTAGTTGATGAAACGATTAACTGGTAAGCAAATGCTTAGTTAATGCTACTGGCTATAGACATCCCAGCCCCCATTCTGCCCCTCTGCCAGTAAATATTTTAGCATGCTTGCCAGCAGCTTCACTCCTGGCTCACACCAGATCCAGGGAGCTACCCCCACTGCAGCTCTGCAGTGTAAGTAATTTAGGTGCTGGCAGGCAGGCAGGCAGGCAGCCCAGCTCGTGCCAGGTCCCCAGAGATACCCCTGATGCGACTCTGCACTATTACTGCAGAGCCACAGGGGGCGAGGGGTAGCTCCCAGGACCTGGCCCGAGCTGGGACTGAGTACTTGCAGTGCTAACCCTTATCAATTAATCGTATAGTTGACAACATTTGTGTTGACTACACAATTAACAAATTACATGTTTCTTAACATTTCTAGTGGCTATTTGGCTTGAACAATGTGGATACTTGGCCGGTTGAGTGTGGTCAGAACAGTTTGGATACCACAGTTCTAAAGGGACCATTCATGGTAGTGCAACCCATTAATACCTCTGCAGTGAGAGGACAAGAAGAGGGCACTAGAGGGTTGAAGATGGTTGCAATAAGCCGTAAGTTCAATGTGTATTCAATTCCTGCTTTTTGAATGACTAGCAATGATTAAGCTCCCAGGCTCAGCTTTTGTAAGTGCTGCACGCCTTTGAGCAGGAGGACTGACAATCACACGATATCTGACCTATTTGGTGAAAAAAGTGTTCACTACCGCAAAGCTGATGTTCTATTTTCCTGGCTGAGTTAATTCAAGAGCAGAGTGATTGGCTAATTTCACCCAGCTGTTCCTGGGGCATTTATTACACTGGATAAAGTGCACTCTACGTTGCCATAGGCAGGTATAGGACCTATAGATCTTGAAAGGTATTACGGGATGAGGTCTGATGCTGCTCTGAGTTGATGTGTACTGGCTTTTGAGGAGCTTGTCTGATGAGGAACTGATGAGAAGAGGTTGCGGAGGTATTTATTTTAAGACAGGCACCCATCAAGTTTGGATTGTACAGGTTGAACCTCTCCAGTCTGGCACCTTCAGGACCTGACCAGGGCCAAACCAGAGAATTTGCCAGACCACGGGAGGTCAATATTGTCTAGCAGCATTACCAATGCTTCCACTGCTTAGGGGGCTCTTAGACATTTAGGCATAAATTAGAGCTAAACAACAGCACACAACAGTGAGAGCCAGGACTGGTGGCTATAAATAAACTTTATGAGACTGCAGGAAACATGACCACACCCACTGTACATGGACATCTGGCTAACTAAAATCATGCAGGTCCATGGATGTTGCTGAATCTGAGAAAGGCAGACTAGAGAGGTTGAACCTATAGCTGTTTGTAGATATCCCATTTGAGATCCAGTGTGGGCTGGTAGGCGACAAGTAGGGAGGGTGTTATTTTTGTATTGAAGCAGGTCCTGTCTGGCTATTTAGATGGCCTATTCCAAGAGTCAATTGTTTGGGAAAGGCAGTTTTGAGTGTGTTAAATTGTATATTCCTAATTCCATCCTCAGAGCATATTCTGTGGTAGCTGAGTATCTAGCTGTAGATAAGAGTTCTAGTGTCTTTGGGGTGGTCATTGCATTTATGAAGGTAAGCGTGTTGAGATGTGGGATTCGTGTTGTCTGTAGGGTTCCATTGGTAAAGTTGAACGTGGTGTCCAGAAAAATTGATGCTAGTGTGGAAGTGTTCCAGAGAGAGCGTTTAATGGGCATATGGTAGTTCAAGACATGGTAGAAATTTGTGAGGGACTTTAAGCTTTCTGTCCAGAGATTGAAAATATCATGTCTCAGTTATTCAGTAACTCCTCAATTAACATTGCCATGTTGTGTGACAGACCCACGCTAGCTGGCTGCTGCAGTCTAATAGAGG